GTGTGGGTGGCCCCCTTGCGGGTGAGAACGGTGACTTTGAAACCGTCTTCAAGAAGTTGCTTCAACACTGATGGGCCCAAGTTACCGGTAGCCTGTATTATATTCAATAATTAGTTTCTACATGGAATGGTCAGGTGTATTCTTACCCCGGCGATCGCAACTTTTGTAATGCTGCTCATATTGTTTGTTGAGTACCTAGGTAGGTAAATGTGTTCCCTGGTAACTTAAGGGTGTGAAAAATGATGAATACTGATTTGCTTCCGATGAGATACTGAGGTGTATGCACAACTTTAAATAATTTATTTTCCTTCTGGTGTATGTCATATAAGAGGTACCTTACCCCGTACATTACCTACGTACCATCACATTGGTATCTGATCCAATCTGAAGCCGATGTGCCCATTTAATGAGCTCTCTATAGCTGTATGTAACTCTATGAGTAGCCGTCGCGATTTCAGTCCAATCGGAGGACGATGCTATCTCCGTGTGCTTATAAATTATGCGGTTAATCGCTTGCTTTCTTTCGCGCTAACGATTGAAGCTGCCTACCGATTCATCACGTAAATAGTGTTGACGTGCTTCGGCGTAATGTTGCAGGCGACAGTTTTTACTTGTCTAGGATGCCAAGGCGACAGGGGTTCGGAATGGCGAACTTGTATTTGTAAAGGCTTCGGTTCGAGAAAGACATTAGAAATCCGGAGGAGGTAGCGAGGGGATGATTACGCTGAAAGCACCGATTTCCATCGTCTAATGATTAGCATTTACATATCTTAATGAATGCAAGTATGGTGCAGTTGATGATACACAAATATAATGTTGAAGAATCATTTTATCCCCTCCATAAACGCCACCTGATTCCTTTAAGGCGTTGAGCCTGCTGAGCTCTAAGATGCATTCCCCACTCCGTATTCATGTATGAGCTTGATGTTGAGATCCCACGCTCCGAACCTATAACGCCGCAAATGCAGATATATATCCTATCTTATAACCTTAGGTAGATATCTACCTATAGGCTCTGTTAAGCCCAACAAGACTTAAGAATTCGTTTCTAGTCTTTTCTTTTCTTTCAAAACAACCGAGCACGCAGCTGGTGATTGTGCTGGCCGTGGTTTTTTCGACACCTCGCATAACCATGCTATCATAATCATAGTAAGCATTTGGCTATAGGGGAAATGCCACCTCGGGGAATGGCTAGAAGCGGAGGGAATACTATTCTACCTACCAGAGATGACTTGACTCCATCACAACTGCCACGCCCTGGGGTTTCAGAACCTCCATGATAGCATTGGCGACTTCTCTGGTTAGCCTTTCCTGGACCTGCAGTCGGCGGCTGAACATTTCAGCAATTCGCGGCAACTTTGATATACCAATAACATTGTTATTAGGGATATATCCAATGTGCATCTGACAGAGGATTAGAACCAGGACCAAAAGGGTAGCAAATTTGTACGACTAACTTTCCCAGTAAAAGGGACCAAATGGTGTTCGCAGAGGCTGAATATTTCTATATCTTTCACGATAACCATCTCATTATGGTTCTCCTGGAAGATGGCGTTGTTGACAATGTCTCTGACGTTTTGCTGATATCCCTTGGTAAAGAACAGCATCGCTTTCGCATATCTTGTCGGTGTATCGAGAACACCCTCCCTATCTGGGTCTTCGCCAACACATTCCAGAATCGTGCGGATAGCTCCTCGCATCTTCTCTAGTCTTTCAGCTGCTTGCTCAGAGCTCTCTTCGAGTCGTTCTCGAGTCCCCCGACCTATACGATGTAAGTGGTGTAAGCATATGGCGTGAGCAGCGGAAGTTATAATTATTCATTGGTACATACTCGGTCGGCTTAAACCATCGAAGTCAATAACTGGACTAGGCGACCTCGTTTCTGCACCTTCGTTCTTAGTCTTCTTCTGCTTCTTGCCTCGGGGCTCGTCTCTGGGGTCTCGTGCGGCTTTGCTAATGCTATTCCTCCTCTTTAATGATTTTGAGTGTCCATTGATCTCCGATATACCTCCATCTTTGACCCTTCTTCTCCTCTTCTTTTTATCAGCCCTCCTCTCGTCTCGACTTTGGCTCCGCTCTTGTCTGTCGCTGCCATTAACAGAGTCATCGATATCGGAGACTCCCGTATTGGAGTTGTTGGAAGATTCTATCGTAGCCATTTCTAAACCGTCCCACTTTTTGAGTTAGCTAACTGCACCGTTTTGCTTTTTCTTTTGCGACCACGACGTCAACTTGTGCAGGTCCGTTCGTAGGAGGCGTTGTATATGAAGGAAAGATCTTTTAGGGAGCTTACGGGGCAAGGATAGCCAAACTATAAGTTCCAATCAGCTCAATTACATCAAGCACATGCGCCGAGAGGAATTCCTTGGTGCTTATGGCAGCTTAGATGGAATTGTCGAATCCCACTCTAACGCAAGCTTTATCAAAGTGGACAAGATTTGCAAGTATCGAAAATCAACTCTTTCAATTGTCCGTTATCGCTGCATCGTCTTATCGCGCTAGTGTTAGGGGCCCACATGAGCCCACATCTAAGCTATTGTGGGGAAGCCCAGCTAACGGTCCGTGACCATTAGTGGATAACCTTAGGTATGTATCTATGTATCTAAGCTGCTATTGCTACATGTAAGCTGGGCTTCCATTATGTGGCTTCCATTATGTGGCTTAGGTTCGCGTTATCTATCCGTGTCTCTATCCGTGGCTTAAGCTCCTTCGTCATTTACGTGGATGCATCATTCGTAAAGTTCGAAACGCGGAAGTTATTATTCCCCAAAGTTTTGATGCTACTTCCATGCTTTCTTTCCATTAGACATTTATATTTTTTTTCCCAACATCTCTCATCAAAGCTTCCTTGACTCCCACTCGACACTGATCAACGAAAGCGCTCCGATACCAGTTTAACTACCTAAACTACGTCCAAACTAAACTACGTTACCTGGTCTAAGATTTCGGAATAACGGATCCGTCACAACGCTTCGGAAACCTCGAGTGGGCTTCACTAAACTAGGTCTTTCTTCTCAACAAGCCAACATGGCGTCCCCTCCACACGCCTACTCACCTGCGGGTTCTCCGCCATACTCTTCTAGCGCGCAGTTGCCCTCGAAGAAGCGCGGCTCCACAACTGCCGATTTACCATCGCAACCACCTTCCCTCAAACGTCGCAAGGCATCGGTCATGTCTATTGCCTCCGTGGGCTCAGCTCATCCTCTTCGGCAGACGTCCTTCCCGCCTGACGAATCTCAAACCCAGACTTTCTCTCCGTCATACAAAAGATCTCCAAGCGTCGATACCATGAGTCTCGTTAGTGGAAGTCAGGTGAGCGGCGCGCCCACCAAGAAGAAGCGCGGTAGAAAGTCGAAGGCAGAGCGCGCGAGTGAGGCTGCGGCTGAAGCCATACGCGATGGGACTCCAAGTGTCGTAGGAGGCCGCGCGCCCACTGTCCTCAGCAACGCTAGCGGCAATCATACCGGAAAGGACGTCGACCCGGACACTAGGAAAGAAGAGGAATTCGAGATACCCGAGAATATGGCCAGTATGTCTGCTGCCCGAACCAAAGAGCAAATCGAAGAAGAGAAGGAACTTAATGCGCTGTTAAAGGCGCAAATGGACGCACAGCAGTTCGACCGGTATGAGGTTTGGCATCGTCAAACACTCAAGAACGCAGACGTGAAAAGGGTAAGCTAAATCATATTCCTACGTTATTGGCCGTCTCAGTCGATTATAACGAATCTAACCGCCCCCACTCCTGTGTAGCATATCAATAGCGTCACATCGCAGTCGTGTCCTACCAATGTTCATCAAATGATGCAAGTCGTTTGCAAGATGTACCTTGGAGATATCATTGAGTCCGCCCGTGAGGTTCAACAAGAGTGGGTGCAACTGGGCGAAAAGCAAACCGATCTATCCGATGATGATCTTGAACCGACAAACGAGTTATCGAAACATCGCCGACAAGCTCCCTTACGGCCCGAACATCTTCGCGAAGCATATAGACGTCGTAAGGCCTCTACCGAGAATGGTGGCGCTTTGGGAAGCTTGATGGTTTGGAATCAGCAAACGCAAAACGGAGCTGAGAGATTTGCAGTGAGGGCAGGTGGCCGCAGAATATTCAAATGATAGTAACCTAGTTGAGAGAATGATTATCTTCACCTGGGTTACGGGAAGTTCCAAGTCTTCCTGCTTTTGAACACCGAGTATACCTTACTTAAGGGACCTACTTTTATGACAGAGGTACTGCCAATCCTCCATATTATTCTGTCACTATGAACAGTCCATACTTACAACTTCCTGCTTTATAGTTTTTTTTTTTCGCCGCCTACTAGTGGAGAGGAAAGCAACCAATCTCTTGACCGGCAACGACTTCATAATACGCAGCCTGAATATCTACCGGATCGATGGTACAGGTTTGCTTTTTCAGTATTGTTTTGATCTGCTGAATGCTAGATTAGCTGCAACGAGAAAAGGGGGAATTGCCCCAACGGTGGCATGGTTAAACATAGCATGTCTAGCCTCATCCCCAGCATACCTCACATTGCGAAACAAGGCGGAGCAAAGAGATGGCCTTTTTACAAGCAGCATAAGAAAGTTTTGATACCCCCCTTAGATAGGTATATTAAATGCCATCCATCTAACATTATTACAAGAATGATTTCTTTTATACTAAGTCCGCTATTATACCTAACGAGCTCCTTAAGTCTGGATTGTGAAGCCTAGATGGTATATTCGCGATTCTCAGATAGTCGAGTTTAACTCTGAATTTGACGAGATATATTGTACCGTCCATCGTCAGCTAAAAGTGTAGTTAACATACAACTGAAATAATCCACCAAAATTTGTCGTCGTACAGTTAGTTAATCAAGCGAGGTCTTTCACAAAGTTGGTTGGTTCCATTGCAGCTGTGCTGTGCATAATGGATCCAATTTCACGTGATTTGGTCGCTGCACGCCGTCTGTGTACGAATTAAGTACATAGAGCCGCCTAAGAAGACTTTTTCATATCGCACGGCCCTTATAGCTCAGTGGTAGAGCGCAGCACTTGTAATTCTTCTTTGAAGATCCATTGCAAGTACATGCTGAGGTCCATCGTTCAATCCGGTGTGGGGGCACAATATTTTTGCAATTTTTTTCCAATTCTTTTTTTATGTCTTTCTTTTTTAATATGGAATATCTAGTGGTGCTACCTGCATATATTCATCGGCATCACCCCAAGCTATCTTCTTTTCGTTCGAACTTGTCCTCGAGCTTTGCAGTCTAGCATTGTCAAGGGTCTTCATCTAAGGTAACCTACAATACCTAGTCTCCTGGAAGTGACACATAAAGGACTTTTATCATAACACGAAGCAGGGCAAATCCATCCATCCCCCCCATGTTGGTAGCGGATACGTACATCTAGATTCAAATGTCAATATCCACTAGGTTAGTTAGGTACCTTGCTACATTACCTTCACGAGTCCTGCTAAAGCCGACAGGCAGAAGAAGGCCGCGATGCAGTTTAGCAGAACGGGAAGAGTCAGAGGACTAAGCGAACATTGTGAGTCCGCTATCATTGTTGTGGAGCTGGAAGGAAAGGCTGGAAGATTGGTACTTGGTATAGTGAAGACCAGGACTGATATACCAATCAAAGACGCACTTAATTATTGTCACAAATCGCGAATTAACATCATTTTTAACCAGGTCCTCAAAATCGTCAGGAAAGGCCACAAAAGAGAGAAAGGAAATGGATGACTGTTTTTAAAATAGTAAGTTTCACAATATTGAAGAGACCCTATTCAACTTCATCCAAGATGATTATTGTAGCCGGAAATTTCTTGGCAAGGAATAGAAAGGAACCCTGAACTGGAATTTAATGCTCCCGTCATGACTCCAGGCGTCTTGTTTAAAATCCTCATAATCAGTGTACGCATATTAATTGCATACATGTAAATGAATGTTGTCGTATACCTGGGCATAAGGCACTCAAGCAGATGCGTATCATCTACAGGCGCCCGCTTAGTCATCAAAGGGGTCACTCCTGAATTACATTGCCGCTGGCTGTATGGTCTCCTGGTGGGTACGCACCTAGGTACCTCTTGCCTACTAATGGTGATACAAACTTAAGACGACATTGAATCGAGCCAAAACGTTCTACAGGGCGTGAGGCCAATGTAAACTCACCTAGTAGCCCAGCATAACGTCTACGTTCAACATGAGGTAATTGAGAACTCTGAAGCCTGTATCATAACTCCACACAATCAAGTGAGTCCTAATATGCATTACGGCAAGTTGATGTAGGATCCGTGTCTGAATCTAATCAGATATGGGGTAAGGTGGTAAATTTAAGGTCAACTAGGTTATTCTAGCTACTTTTCAATATTGTACTGGATGAGCCTATTAATAGCACTCCATGCAGTTTGGTCTCAATATCTAGATTCCTAAGACCGTGCAAGATCTTATCGGATTATCGACGGTGGCCGTAGATAGAGAGAGTTTGGTAAATGTTGAGAGCTGAAAGGTAAGAGTAGGGATCAAGGGGTCGGCTGGGAGATCTCTGATGGTGGAGTCGTAACTAAAACCAATGCTTCCTGGTCTCCATTCTCATACTGAATTTTATCACTTGTAGCACGCTGCATTGACCTGGAGGGTTGTCAAAGTTTCGACCATGACATCCGATCAAGTTGAGGGATAATCCAGCTAATTGTGACTGGAGTAGTGATAGGTATAAGACACCAAAGAGAAGTATATTCGGAGTACGCTGGGCTATATCCAGGCCACCTCTTCTAGAACCAATGAAGCCCATGTTATCGTTGAATTCTCGTTGACGCGGTAATGGTATTGATAGCAGTAATAGATGGCGTCTTTTCTAGGCTACCGATATGATGACTAGGGACGGCATCGAAGCTGTGACGAACCGAATAGAGTGCAAGCGATTGCGAATGTATATGCAGCTAAATTATCCGTAGTACCCCACTGAAATACCTCTATCGCAAACGAAAGTTATGAGCTTCTGAAACTAGCAAATACAAATAGGGCGTGAAAACGTACCCAACATACCTGATGTCGCCACGTCAAAGGCAGAGATATTCCGAGAAAAGCCATTATAATAGCGTTGCGGAGAGGTATTTGATTAGGTTGACACAATTTCGAGTTCTTATGTCTCTAGATGTCTTTTCTGAGGAGGCGAGATGAGTTGCATTCCGCGATAGCCGTCTGCATTTAGCATATAGTGCCTATGAGGGAAAAATATTCTGCAAGTAGTATGTTGGAGGGGGGCTTGAGGAAGGATGAATCAACCTAGGATTATATCTTCCGGTTGGCCAGTCAATCGGTCTTCAACAGACTCATAACGGTCCCGCGGGTTAGATATTGCCACTTCCTTCTCCACTACAACCACAAACTCTATTCTTTTTACTTTAGCGTTGATCCCAGGACCCTTCTTCCATTCTTCGAAACGCTTTGATAGAGCTGTTTCGTGCTCGTTTTTCTTGACTCGAATCATTGCCTTATTTCGCTTGTCCACACCCTTCACGGCAGTTCTCATTAGATAGAGAGTTTCAACGTTATGCCATGATCTTGTAATGGTTTGCCAGCATGGCTCTGTGGTAGGAGGCAAGTTAGGTGACTCCGCTTGTATAGCCAATGACCGTACCATGGAACGGTCAGGCAGATCGTACTGATTTCTGGCACAGTAGCATCCACGGCACCCACCATGGCAAGGCTCAAAGATCACGATGTCATAACCAGTAACAGCCTGAAGTGTTCTGGGATTGAAGGAACTTGTGACCGGACTATACATGGCAAAGAGCTTCAGGTAATGGAGTCGCGCGACCCATCGTGACAGGTGACATGCATTAAACCAGCTAGGTTGCTCGTTCTGAACCTCAAATTGAGGTTCGGTATGTGATAGTGAATATCGGTTCACTATATATACTAGACGTGGTTCTATGGCGGCCTCCCATATCATGATTTTGAGCTCATTCGGAAGGTCACGGTACTTTGGAAACTCAGTGAGCGGCTTCATGAAGCGTGGAGAACGGCGAACGTATCTGCTAGCAGCAGTTTTGCTCGCTTTAAGCCGTCTCGTTGATATTCTTTTTCGCTCTTTACCCCGAGATGTGTCGCTTAACGCTGTAGCCTCCACTACCACAGCATTTCCATTCTCAAAACGGGAAGATCGACGGCTTGATATTCGAAGCTGGCCAGTTAGGGGGTGTGATGTAGATGCTGTATCTAGCGTCGGCGGTTCAAGAAATAAAGCTTGATCTCTCACTTGACCAGTCATATCATCAGTATCATCAGTGATGTCGTCGGGGTTGGTAATCCGGTCATTCATGATGTAACTAATATCCCTCGACTCCTCAAGTTTGGATACATTGAAATTGCGTACGCTCCTCTTGGAGGAGTTTTTAAGCCGGTCTCTGAAGGAAGTAGCATGTGGAACGGCACCAACTAAATGACCGAGATGGGCTTTGGTCATAGATCGTGTCACTGGGCCGGTATATAGTCCCGAGTTGAGCATGGACAGGGGAATAGCACCAGCGTGCGCGGGTGTCGACATCATCGGTGAGTCTGTCATTTCGACGTCCTGAGGGTAATCGGGCTCTGGCTGTAAATCGAAAGGTGCTTCACGTTTCGTACTGTCCATATAAAGGTCCTCGATGCCATCTTCGGTCTCTTGTGCTCCTGCCATTTTGAGATTGGCTAACGATTGTTTTCAACTGCACTCCTGTTCTTGTCCTGGGTGTAATGAGACAATAGTCGATAAAATAAATGATATCCGCAGACGACCGAAATGTGTTGTAAAGTCGCAACTTGTCCGCCAATTCTCACGGGGCTTTAAATGCGCACGTGGATGAGATGTTCTAGTGCTTAGTACCCAGTACCTATGGGTACCTAGGTACCGAAGTAAGTAGCCAGGAAGGTTCCTGCCTCGTTGGTAGTACAATTCTTGGATTCTAGTGGGTGGTGACACAAGTGTTGAGCTGTGCAGTAGCCGCTGTGACACCTGATGGGCAGTACGGGGTACGGAGGTGTAGAGATGGCCTTATTGAAGTCGTATTTATTTACCTTAGGACTCAGGTTCAGAAAATAAATAAATAAGTACCTAGTAAATAAATGATTCGTGGTGTAATACAATCTCCCTGAGAAGTAGTACGAATTGGGGGTTTAACGAGAACAATAAGAATAATGCTCCGTCTTTCGGTCAAGTTCGTTCCAGTTTCAACTTTTCGGTGGTGAAAGACCCTGATTGAGCGATGTAGATGGAGCCTAAGTTCCAGGGTTCCAGGTACTTTAAGTAGATCCTAGGGTACCTTTAGGTAGGTTAGGTAGCTGCGGGTAGGCACCTGACAATGGGTACCTTCTGAGCTAAGCTGCGTCGAAAGATCCAAAGGAAGAGCTAAAATGCAAAACGGCGGCCAAGAAAGTGGTACGAGGTCAAGGAAGCCAACTAGATGAACTTTGTAGTATAATAATTTCCCCGAAATGTGTAGGTACCTTCTTCTATTTCCGCATGAAGATGTGAAGATGTGAGTATGTGACGGTGAGGCGGTATGATACGGTATATTTGAGCAACCGTAAGATTGTTTGAGAAGTCATCGTCTTGACGATTGCGGGGCAGTCGTGGAGGGGCTGAGGGGTGAGAGGGGAATAAGGGTGAGGGACGGCCTAATAGTGGGGCACAATAACGTGGCAGGCGCGGAAGCTGCAGGCGCAACGTTTTAGTATCTTAGCACGCTGGCCCCTGCCGTTTAGGTATCTTACGCGCCTAGGTACTTACTTCAGGGCATTTGTTGCTGCTCTGGTTCAAGCTGCCAAGGTACCTCACACCTGCCCTAGGTAATTTTGGTTCTTCTAATTGTGCTGCATGAACAAATATTCTAGACGACAAACTTAGTAACCCGGAGGGCCACCAGCCCTGGTTATGAATTAATTATCACATGGATTATTTGCTTTTAAAGATTTTATTGTTTTTTTTTTTTTTTTTTTTTTTTTATTATTATATATATATAAAAAACAGTAAATAGAAAATTATTTTATTAATATAATAAAGTAAATATATATATATATATAATATATAATAATAAATAAAAGTATTTTTAAAATTTTATTATATTTAATTTATATATAT